GCAGGTGTACTCGGTTTTTTGATAATTTTGCATCCTTGAGTCGACTCCAACTTAATCTTCCACGTCATTCAGTGGTACGTTTTACCCACTGGGGACTCTCAACTTTTTGAGTCCAGAGGCACGTTGTGGAGGACATGCTAAGACTCGACAAAGTGTTTGCCAGGAGGGCGGAAAGGTTTCATCAAGTTGCAAGGCCGTGTGATCACGAGCGCGGATCCTGAAGTGAAGAAAGGAACTTGCGCTTTACTTCTTACTTAACGTGTCTGCTTGTAGTAACCTCCGGGATGAAGAGCTGCAGGGGAGACGAGACGCTGATTCGCTGAGATGGGGAGACGAGACGCTGAAGAGCTTCACTCTCCTACAGAGGGGGATGTCGATCAATTAGATAATCAACGTGACCAAAGTACCTTAACAGGTACTCCTCGTCATGCCCAGAAGGTTCTATAAGTTTGACTAATGGCTCCGTTGATTCCAACACGAGATGATAGAAAGGGACCGAAAGACTCGCTCTTCACTTGAATGTGTCACGTCCAGCGTAGGTCTCTCGACCCATCTCGCGATTCAGCATTGGAAATGCGGTAGTTTGTAGCAGGTACGCCTCTCTTTCGCTGCCGTCTGGATCTAATTTCTCGTTCTCTCCTGCAGATGATTATCCCTTTCCAATGTAGAAAGCGATGGCTTCTCGTGACTTTGTGTGCCTTCCTTATGCTCCAAAGCTTTGAGACTGGTGCTGCATCCGTTGAAGAAGGTAATGAGCAAGCGTACAGATTCTGGTTCCTCAAATTTTCCTCCAGGGGACGAGCTGCGTTTCCTTAAGAGGAGTTTGGGAGATCCGGAAGTTTTGGAGAGCTGGAGGGAAGAAAGCGATCCATGCCAAAGCCGTTGGTATGGAGTCACTTGCTCAAACACCAACAGCGTGAGCGAACTGTAAGTGCTGTTTGTACTTATCAGTTTCCTGTTGAGCTTAGCTCGTCCTTGTTGCAGAGATCTGAGTAATCTACTTTTACAAGGCAGCTTGGCATCAGGCACTTTTGCAAAACTTCCAGGCCTAACGAAGCTGTAAGTTTCAGACTTTGTAGAAAAAACCTTCTTACTCTTGTCCTGCAGGGTTTTAGCTAACAATAGCTTCACAGGAGACATTCCAGATAGTTTATTTGGTCTGTCAAGTCTCACTCACCTGTAAGTAAAATTTCTCTTTCCATTTTGTTATCTCACATTGTTTCTATCTGCCAGAGATGTTTCGTACAACCTTTTCTCAGGAATGCTTGGCAGTGGATTTGAGCATCTAACTAAGCTACAGATACTGTACCGTATCATTTCTCTAATCTTTCTCATCCTTACTCAATTGATTCTCTAGGTCCCTTACTGGAAACCCGTTTAATACAGGGACACAGCTTGACTTCAGAGAGCTTATAGAGCTTGAATATGTGTAAGTTCCTCTCTTTTCTTTCCTACAATGTTTTCATGCATAAAATCATCTTGTTTCTCGTTCTTTTGATAGGCTGTTGGGTGGCTGTGGCTTTACACAAAGCCTTCCACCAGGAATTTTTCTGCTACCAAAACTATATGCTTTGTAAGTCTAAATTTTCTAAGCAATTTCTCACCATTTGTTATTGCCTAGTAGGGACTTGGAAGGCAACTCGTTCAGTGGAGCACTGACTGATGAGATCCGGCAAACAACAAGTCCCTTGACCGTGTTGTAAGCGACTGAGTTCTCATGTATTGTGCATTTGAACTTATTTCTCTTTCAGGGGGCTTCAAAACAGTGGCATTTCTGTTGATCTCAACCCCACCACCATCCGCTATTTCCAAAACCTCCGCTATCTGTAAGCACGAAAATAAAATCTTACCTCGTCGTCACCTTCTGAACTAATGCAGGTCCTTACCTGAAGACGTGATAAAATATGTCCCTACTGTGCTTCAAGGAAGGTTGCCAAGGCAAGTGAAGATGAATCTCTTTGTGATGGTGCTAAATTTGTGGGTTAGGCAGTATCCAGAATTCTTTATGCATGTACGTAGCATGGATCAAATGCGAGACTCCGTCCCGCGCGAAACCGAAAGCTTCAGATGAACCAGCTCCTCCACCTAGAGCACCGAAAAGCAAAAACACCGCAGCTATTATAGGCGGTGTTGTTGGAGGGGCTGCATTTTTTATCGCAAGCTCTTGTTTGGCGATTTATTGCATACTAGCGAGGCGCCAGAAATGTGTAGTGACAGGTAACTTGCTGTTAATACTGTGTTCTGTTTGATCTTCTTTGTTTTTACCTTTCTCGCAGACTTTACTGTGAAGGCAGGATTGGAGCTAGAAGTTGTCACGAGTTCTCAATCTTTTGTCGTCGCTCACGCTTTCACTTATGCGGAACTCGAGCAAGCTACCGATAAATTTAACATGAGAAACCTGGTTGGGGAAGGCAGCTTTGGTCAAGTGTTTCGGGGGATCCTCACGAATGGCAAGGTGAGAAAAGTATATTTCATAGACAGCTTCCAAAAGTTGGATGTTTTCAGGTGGTTGCTATCAAAAGAATGGATAGATTTGCTGGTCAGTGCGCGGAGGCAGAGAAAGAGTTTCGTATCGAGGTTGATTTGCTTAGCCGGATGAACCATCCGCACCTGGTGAGGCTGTTTGGCTACTGTGCGGACGGGAGTCAAAGATTGATTGTCTACGAGTTCATGTCTAATGGTTCACTTGAGAGCTACTTTGCAGGTAATCTGCCACTTCTTCTCTTGCTTTCTTTTCCCAGACGTGATCTTTCCAGGTCGATGCTTATACAGGAGTGGATTCAAACTAGATTTTCGGAGGCGACTGCTAATCTCTTTGGGTTGTGCCAAAGGCTTAGCTTTCCTGCACGCTGGAGGAGAGGATGGCGATCCTATTGTTCACCGCGACTTCAAGTCTTCAAACATTCTTCTCGATTCTTACTTCTCCGCTAAGGTAAGTAGCAATCGCTCCATTTGCCTCGTTTCTTCCACTTGCTTACAAGTTTCTCTTAGATATCCGACTTTGGATTTGCCAAGCTTCTTCAAAGGAACCAAAGCCATGCCAGCACCCGCGTGATTGGAACATTTGGCTACTTCGATCCACACTACACGGCAGTGAGTAATCTCTGCGAATTCCAATAGTAGTGTGTTGTGTAACCCGAGTGCTATAACCTGGATCAGACCGGGCGACTCACCGTGAAAGCGGATGTGTACAGTTTCGGCGTGGTACTCTTGCAGCTACTCACTGGGAAGCCTGCGGTGGTTTCATTTGGAGGGGATGACGTTCCACAAAACATAGTGTCTTGGGTGAGTTATGTTGATTCTCTTCCCTGAACTTTGGAGAGGTGAGCTCTCGGAACTTTGCAGGCGGAGCCTTGTCTCAGTGACAAGAGAAAGCTCAGGAGGATTTTGGACAAAGATTTGGGCTCTACTTACCCACCAAAGTGTGCTCACAAGCTCGCTCTTTTGGCATCGTGCTGCCTGAGAGAGAACGCGGAGGCGAGGCCAAGCATGGCTCAGTGCGTACAAACGATCGAAGAAATTCTCGTGGAGTGCGCAATGCACCTCGAAAACGTGTAAAGAACAGTTCCACAGCATCAGAATGCACAGTTCGCAGCTCATTCCCTGGGGGAAGGACAAAATGTACGAGAGATAATCATCTGGGAAATTAAAGGTAGAACCAAAGAGAGAATTTTGATCTGAAGAACAAGCTTACCCTCTAGCTTCTAGCGGATTTCCGAAGCTCGACGGCGTCGATGGATTGGAAGCGACAAGCGAGTCTTTCGCGAAAAAAAACGTATCTTTTTTCTTCATCTCTTGGAATCGAGAGTACAGATTTCCTCGCCCGTGTTAGCGAGCCAGTAGTCATATTTGTAGTCGTCATTCATCTTCTTCGTTGCTGCCTTGTGACCCTGGCGATTACTTGACGAGAGTCTGCTCGCAAGTAGGGAGATAAGCTCTAGCTGCTTGGCCTGCTGATCCTGGAATTAAATCGAGCACACAGAACCCGCCAGCTAATTAGAAATGCTTCCAAAAGACGTACCTGTATAGCCATCAAGGCGCTTCGAGTTTCTTTAAGCTCCTCTTCAAGCAAAGTTTCACGATGGGAGAGAGCTTTCACAGCGGAGGCCATATCTGCTGCCAGTTTCGCCGTCTACAAAAACATCAAGGATGAGAGGCGCATTCTCTTGATGAAAAGCAGCAATGGCGAACCTGATGGATTGGATCTTGGAGCGTTCGTTTAGTGACTTGCACACGCACACCAAGCTTCTCGAGCTGTCTGGTTAGAGCACGGATGAGCGTGATCGAGCCAAGGAAATCGTGTTCCAGGCTCGCCACCCGCTGTGCCAGTGCTAAGTTGGAGCTCTCCTTGAGAATCCTTTCACTTGGTTGCGGCTGGACGGATCTTAGAATGATGTTGATGAGCAGAGCCAGCCATAGTGGGACGAGTTGCCAAGTGGAAAGTGCCGCATATTTGAGCTGTCGTGGAGGTGCATGGCCTGGAGATACTTCTAGCTTCACAAAAAACAACTAAGAACACTGCTGCGAGAAAGAAAAAAGAAAGAAAAACAAGACGAACGATTCGACTTACGCATTGTTCCTGGGTGGAAGAAGGCCGGATCAAGCATCCAGCCTGCGAGACAACGGCAGCCGAGAGGCAAATCCCCTCGCCAGTAGCTAGAATTTGCCTGTAGTTGATCCCCCGCCTCTCCTCTCCTTCATGCTTTGCTGAAATCCATGCACTGAGTGATCGATTGGAGCGGCAAAGGAACCATACCTGATGGCGACGATGAGCAGCGAACGACGGTGAGGAACTTGATCGAGTTGCAAGCAGTGCACAGGCACGTCAAAATCTCGGCATTGCTGAGAAATCTGGGAAAGCGAAGCTGGGATTTCTTTCCGGATTGTCCCTGAGCCGCGATCAGACCAGCGGTAGGGGTAGATCCTAGAAGCGAGCACCTGACGCTGTTGCGCTGGTACACAGCCAGGGCGGCCATTCCTCGCTAAAACCCCTAAATGCAAGTGAAAGAGAAAGATAAGAGCTAGGGTTTTGTCTCTCATGGCTGGAGAGCTCTGTAGCTGTGGCAGCGGCATTGCGAGCGCGTGGGAAAGGCGCCATAGAATCAGTGCTGCTCCACGTCTTGTTCTCGATCGTCGTCGCCTCCAGATTTTGGCTGCTGCATCCCCGGGTAAGAGGAGAGAACTCTTTGGTTTCTCTTTCTTGGTGGAAACTCTCAAATTCCTTGCTCTTATCGATATCCAGGCAGCAAGAGAAAGACTAGAGGCAAGAAGGACGACTCCGACTTGAAGTCCAAGTCATACACGGACGAGGAAGTTTACAACATCAGCCGCGGATGGAAGATCAAGGCCGAGCCTAACGAGAAGGTATGAGAAAGAAATTCTAGGAAGTCTTGTTTTCCCTCGCTTGATGTTTATAGCGCTTTCCAGGTTGTAGAGATGGCGGGCTTGAAGTTTCCTGCCAGCCTGAATAAACTGAGTGACCAAGATAAGGCGCCCCTTCTCGAGCCTCGGACAGTTCACAAACTTTTGCGGGTATACACTAGCTCGAGGTTGGATTTCTTAAGACCGCTCGATGTCTATCTCACTGCTACACAACAATCGGGTATGTTTCTCTTGGTCAGGTTATGGGTGGCAAAAACAATGGAAAGAAGCTCTTGTCGCCAAACGATTCCTCCGTAAGGCCGATGATGGAAGTTGTCCGAGGCGCTGTTTTTAACATGCTACAGGTAGAGAAAAAAGAGGATATCTTCTGTCTATGATACTCACCTATGTTTGAATCAAGGCACGCGGAGGATACACGGGAGGTTTGCCTCCTGGGAAATGGCTAGACCTCTACAGCGGTACTGGCTCTGTTGGAATCGAAGCGTTGAGCAGGGGCTGCTTGGCAGTAAGTTTCATGGTGAATTCTATGATCCGTATTGAAACTTGTTTTTTTTTTTTAAGGCACATTTTATAGAAATGGACCCGTGGGTGATATCCAAGGTTCTCAAGCCCAACCTTGACGCTACGAATTACACAGAGCAGTCGGTAGTTCACATGCTCAAGGTGGAAACTTACCTCGAGAAGCAGGCAACCAATCCAAAGGCCGAAGTTTTCGACTACATAAGCGTCACTCCCCCTTACGAAGCTGTCCATTATCCCACGCTTATGGAGCAGCTTTCTACCTCTCCTCTCGTGGGAGACTACACTTACGTGGTTAGTCAGCATTTGGTTCCTAGATTTTGCGTGATATACTCTCTCGTTTCTTGTCCCAGATTGTAGAGTATCCTTTGAAGTCGAAAGACGAAATGCCGGAGGCCTGTGGACCTCTTGCAAAGGTATTCCTCTTCTCCCTTGAAAATCATCCTGTGGAAACTTGACTCTTGTGTCATCCAGATTGTAGATAGGCGCTATGGAAGAACGCATTTGGCTGTTTACGGGCCAAATCCTTGACACAAGTCTATAGTCATCGAATTTCAAGACAAAACAGGACTGGGAAACTTCAATTTAACGAGCTATACAACATCGGTTTTTTCATTTCTTCTGCTGCTCTTCGCTATCTTTCCAGGTCGCTTGCCATTGCTTGTCGTAGAATGTCGACTCCTTGACCAGCGTTTTGATAGTTTCCAAGTCCTCGTTCTTCCTGACCAGCAGGATTCCAACCACGGTGATGAGGAGCAGTAGCTTGCCAAAGAAGCTGTTCGTTTGGTCCACCAGGCCCACCCCAGTCAAGCTGTCTATCAAGTACGCTGCGAAGAATCCCACCATCGCTGCTCGGCCTGGAGGGAGAAAAGAAAAGACCAAAGAGTTTCTCGACAGGCGTCCGAAGGCCAGAAGGAAACACGTAGCTTACCATTCAAGAGCTCCGCCTCTGGCAAGTGGAAGCGTCGGACCCACGCCCACCACGGGACGGTAGCCGTGTCAAACAGCACAGGATCGTCGTTGCTCGAGGCCTCGGGATTCTCTTCTAGCCACTTTCTTCTCAACACCTCTGCCGATCGATCAAGTCAGTAAGCAAAAAACAAAGCGAAAAAAGTAGGATCTCGCCACTCACCAGCGTCAATCACAGCATCCCAATCCATCTTGCCGTTCTTAACAAACTTGGTCATGTCCCAGTTGCCATTCTTCCACCTTGGATCCTCAAACTTTTCTCCGGAGACCGCGGAGCTCTTCTTTCCCAAGGCAGCGGGGCTGGGATCCTTCCCTTCGGCCGCTTCTCCCCGCAGCGTACCCCCTTTCTCCAGGGGCGATGGCTTCTTCTTGCCCGACGATTGAGCTGTGGAATCCCCCTCCTCCTTCTGCGGCAAAACAGCAACCTCCGAGGGCGCCGAATTCGTCGCCGGAACGCGCTCCTCCTCCGATGATGCCATGGCGATGGCTACTCTTCCAAATCTCTTGTTGCCGCGCCCGAAATCCCTGGCCGATGCCGCCGCGAGAGGAATGCGATGTCGCGAGCGATTGCACGAAGTACTGACACACCTGGGAGAGCCGCCTCCCACGGGCGCCATCGCGGTCGCTGCCATCGCCATATCTCTCCTCCTTCCTGCCCTAAAATGCGCTTATAATCGCCTATTTCAAGATGGCCAGCTGGGCGTCTATTTGCGCGCCATTTCTATTCCTTTTCTTTCCCCTTTCTAGTCTTGCTTTTAGGGTTTATGCGCGGCATGGATGGGCGATCGTCGCCTTCTTCCTCGCCCTGGGCGCCTGTGATCTGCAGCTCGCCACTGCATTCTGGCGGCCTCTCCATGGAGAATCCGTTCGAGATGTTCGACGAGGTGGGGAGGAGTCTCAAGTGGTTTAGTCTCTCTCGGAATGCGCCCGACGCCCCGGTCGTCCATCGGCCCGTTCTTGAGGAAGTCGCATCGCAGGATAGCTACGATTCGGATTGTTCTAGCACCAGTAGCTGGAACAAGAATCCGGAATCGCTGGCGATGCCGGACGAGCATTGCGAAGAACAGGAATCGTCTGTTTCAGAGCCTCTTCGATGTAGAGATGAATTGGTGCTCCATCACAAGGTAAGTCATGTAGAATGGCTCTTTTACTGCTCTTTAAACTCTTTTCTGTTTCAGAGCCCCGAACCAAAAATCGAAGAAATTTACGATGAGCCTTGTGTTAAGGAAGACAATGAGACTGTGAGTCCCTCCCATATATTTGTTAAGAAGTCCTAAAGTCCTTTGTGTAGCAGGAGGATCGATATTACAAAGACGAGCACGTCCAAGAGGTATTTGATAAAGCGTCCATGGTTTCTTTGACGCTTCTTTACTTCTCCAGAGTAAGCGAGAGTCCTGTCTTTACTCGCAAATGCCACCTCCGGTGGGATCGGACAAGGATCCAGTTTCTGGATTAGTGCGTTCTTTCTTCCGCACTAAACTCGATGCTCGTAAAGTTCCGGATGTGATCTCCCACGACAAAATCCCTGATACTGAAGCGTTGGAGAAGAAACTTGAAATGCTCGAAGCTGAAAACTTAAGAGTGAAGAAAGAGAGCCTGCGCCTTATCAAGTTATTGAAGGTATGGGAAGGTTCTGTGACCATCACGTGTCTGATCTCGTGCTGGCATTTTTCAGGAAAAAGAGGACGACTTTGCACGCTTTACTCAAGATAAGGCTGCATGGGAGAAACAGAGTGTGTCGAGCATGCAAGCATTTTGCTCTGAAAAAGAAGAGCTTGTAAGTGACGCATACTGTTACTTGTGCTTTGCATTGAAATGTATTGCAGCTCAAGGAACTCAAGCGGGAAAAGCGTTTGCTAGAAAAACGCTTTCAAGCCATGTCGCAGCTTCCGAATTCGCTTCCCAACAAGGCCGAGCGAAAGGAAATTGCTGATTTGAAAGCCAAGCTAATTGACGTGCATGAAGAGCATTTGAAGAAGGAAGCTCGCCTGCGGCTGACGGTACCATCCATGACTACACTCTTTTCTGTCACTGGCTTACTTTACTCTTACAGAATATCAGGCTTCGGAAGCTTGTGAAGGAGATGTCGGCCCGGCTAAACGAGAAACAAGAGGAGGTATAACTTTTCTCTGGCTATAAGCTACTGATTGTTTTCCTCGTTTTGCTAGATCAAACGATATGAACGGCTGTTACAGGATTGGGATGTTCAAGAGCCGGAGAAGTCAGAAATAGTTCCTGGCTGCAAAACTATCAAGAAGATTGAATGCTTATCAAGCGAAAGGGCAGCTGTTGGATGTAGGATCACAGGTGCTTTGTTTTATCAACGTCCTGACGGTCGTGCAAAGCAGAAGAAGGAAGCTGCCAGCAAGGACTCCTCAATACCGGCCTGTGGCAATAAGATAAAAGCTGCAAGCAACCCAAGCACGACTGAAAAAACTTGCACTTCTATTGTAGATGTATCAAGTGATGCAGTGGATTCAGCAAGTGACAAAAACCGCGCTACATCGATATGTAAGGAAAAGTCTTCCAGTGAACCAGGAACGGAGGACGGCGCGTCCATGGACGGAACAGTGGTCGATGAGCTCATCACTGATCATGAATCTGGTAAAACAGCTGGTTGCGACTTCTTCAACTTTTTTTCTGATGTTTGTCATTTTTTCTGTTGTAGGTTCAGACGTGCTTTTTGAGGACAAAACGAGAAGCAAGGAGAATACATGTAGAGAGAATGGCATTCGGGGAGCACAGAGAAGATCGCTGGTTTTCACGGATGGTACTCGAGAAGAAGTAAGTTTTCTGTTTGGCTTATTGA